TGACTGACTGACTGACAGACTGACTGACTGACTGACTGACTGACTGACTGACTGACTGACTGACTGACTGACTGACTGACTGACTGACTGACTGACTGACTGACTGACTGACTGACTGACTGACTGACTGACTGACTGACTGACTGACTGGCTGACTGACTGACTGACTGACTGACTGACAGATTTCAGTCTGCCCTAACAAAGCTTAAAGGCGTTCTACGACTGAACTGTCAGCGAACATTCAGACAAGCATAGATTAGAAAATCCACGCTCCGCTATCACATCACCATCACAATTTCACTCTACTATCAGCATTTATGTCTGAATCTCCCTCCCTCTACCACAGAAAATCCCAATCTACTTACTTCCCCATGCTCAGTGGAGCAAGCAGATTTACACACTCATTTCAGACTAGCTTATCTACATGTTCCCTTTCTTTCCGATCCCATCTTCTCCATTTCACATTTTGTGCAATGTAATCACACTCTCAATCCTCGCCTAGATTCCTAGCTCGCTAGTTTTCTAGCCGGTCCCAAGCTCGGATAAAGAGGGAGGGTTGAGTCGTGGTGCTAGCAACTTTACCCCCAAAACTTAACCAAATCACTACAGAAACTTCAACGCACAAATATATTAAAAATTCTAAAAACGTAAGCAATAGCCTTACTTTTCGCTGGAATCGGGGAAGTGAAATGACTCAGGCTGGTGAAAGCCTTCGGGAAGCCAGTCAGCCGATGTGCCTTTTTTCGATGAAAGCAAAAGTAAGGATGGGTACCTGGAATGTTCGTACAATGTACGAAACTGGAAAGGCTGCCCAAATAGCCACAGAAATGAGACGATATTGATTAGAAGTGTTGGGAATCTGTGAGAGCAGATGGAACGGATGTGGAAGGTGCCAACTATCAACTGAAGATACATTAATCTATTTCGGTCACCCAGAGGACAACCACGAGCACACCGAGGGAGTGGCCATCATGATGTCACCAACACCAGCCAAAGCTCTCATGCAGTGGGAACCAATCTCCTCCAGGATAATGACAGCCAGGTTCAACTCAAAAGGAAGGAAAGTTACAGTCATTCAATGCTATGCGCCTACAAACGTCTCAGAACAAGAGAAGAAAAAGGATTTCTACAGACAACTACAAGCAATAATGGACAACGTCCCAAATGGCGATATCAAAATCCTGATGGGCGACATGAATGCGAAGCTGGGAGGAGACAACACAGGAAGAGAACTCACCATGGGTCGTGAGGCCCTCGGTGAAATGAACGACAATGGTGAACTCTTCTCAGACTTCTGCGCCTTCAATGATTTGGTGATTGGTGGCAGTGTGTTCAAACACAAGGATATACACAAGACGACATGGATTTCACCAGATGGAAACACCAAAAACCAAATAGACTTCATCTCAATTTCAAGAAAGTGGAGACGGAGCCTACTGGACACAAGGTCGAGGAGAGGAGCAGATGTGGGTTCAGACCACTATCTAGTACAAGGGACTTTCAAGGTGAAACTAAAAGCCTCGAGGATAGCTGGGGATAGGCCACAATGCAAGTTCAACACTCAAAACTGAAGGACACAACCACAAAAGACACCTTCACTGCAACTGTCAGAGCAAAGCAGGAAACACTACGCGACATCACTGAAGAATCATGCGTGGAAGAACATTGGAAGTCTCTGAAGGCGATTCTCAACGAAACGTGTTCAACGGTTTTAGGAAGAAAGAAGAGACAAGACAAGGAATGGCTCTCAACGGACACTTGGAAATTAATAGAAGAGAGGAGAATGGTGAAAGAGAAAATGATTCAATGCAAGGACGGACAGGAGAAGGAGACGCTGAGCTCAACTTACACAGCACTGGACAAAGAAGTGAAGAAGAGTGCTAGGAAGGACAAAAGACGATTCTACGACAATCTGGCCACTGAAGCTGAGAAGGCAGCAGGCAAAAGGGACCTGAGGACACTATATCAGATAACCAAATCTCTATCCGGGAAGAGATCAACACAAGCGAAACCTATAAAAGACAGCCAAGGGAACCCAATTACCAAGGAAGAAAAACAGATTAAACAATGGGCGGATCACTTCAAAGGACTCTTGAACCGACCACCACCTGCAACCCGTCCAGAAATACCAACAACAGCGCGCACACAACTGCAAGTTGACACCAATCCTCCAACGAGAGCTGAAGTCTTGAACGCAATCAAACTTCTGAAAGCTGGAAAACAGCCGGACCAGATGGAATACCCCCTGAAGCACTGAAAGCGGACCCAGAGACTACAGCAGACATGCTGACTCCATTATTGCAAAAGGTCTGGAAGGAGGGAAAGGTGCCTACTGACTGGAGGAAAGGTTACCTCGTGAAACTACCAAAGAAGGGCGACTTACGCTCACTCTGCAAGAACTGGCGAGGAATCATGCTCCTGTCGACGCCAAGTAAAATCCTGAGTCGCATCATCCTGGAGAGATTAAAGGACGCACTGGAGACAGAACTCCGACCAGAACAAGCTGGATTCAGGAAAGGCAAATCATGTACTGACCAAATTGCAACTCTACGCATCATCATCACAGAACAAAGCATGGAATGGCAATCAAACCTCTACCTCAACTTTATAGACTTTGAGAAGGCCTTCGACAGCGTTGAGCGCGAAGTAATTTGGAAACTACTCGAGTACTACGGCGTACCCCAAATATTCATCAACCTTATTCAACAGCTGTACGACAACGGCACCTGCCAAGTGATCCACAACGGAAGACTCAGCGAGGCGTTTGGAGTAAACACAGGAGTCAGACAAGGGTGCTTATTATCACCAATGATATTCCTAATTGTGGTGGACTGGATTATGCGTCAGACAGTGGGAAACGAGAAGACAGGATTATCCTGGACCGACGTGAAGAACCTAGAAGACCTGGATTTCGCGCGTGGATGATTTATGTTTGATGTCACACACAATCGAAGACTTACAAGCGAAAACCGACAAACTGGTCGAAGAAGCAGCCGGCGAAGACAGGACTCCAAGTGAACATAGACAAGACGGAGGTTATGAAAATAACCAACCAACAACAACAGCAGCAGCAACATCCAGCGCCAATCACCATCAACGGGAGGGATTTGAAAGAGGTTACTTCATTCACTCACTATCTAGGAAGCATTGTCTCAACTACAGGAGTCGGAACGGACGAGGATGTCAAATCGAGTGAGAATCGGGAAGGCGAGAAACACATTCATCAACCTGAAATCAATCTGGAAATCTTCGTCACTCAGCATCAACAACAAAATTCAGTCGGATTTTCAATACAAACGTCAAGTCAGTCAGTTCTTCTATACGGATCAGAAACTTGACGGGCGGGTCGCAAAGAATATTTCCAACAGCCTGTTGCAGACCTTCATCAACAACAACTGTCTTCACTGGCTCAATACTGAAGATCAGACGGCCGCACTGGAAAGAATCACCAACAAGAAACTATGGGAGGAAACAAAACAAGAACCAATCGCCCACCAACAAATAGGCAGGAAAAAGTGGAGATGGATTGGACACTCACTGAGAAGGCCGCTGGGTGACATCGCGCGCAAGGCCCTTGAGTGGACCCAAAGTGGAAGAGGTGAGTGGGAAATCCAAGGGTGACATCGAGGAGATCCTGTGAAGAGGAGTTGAAAGAGTATGAACTGAAACGGATGCAGTTGTAAAGTACTACAGAAGAGAGAAGAAAGAGGAGACGTCCAGTTGAAGCCCTAGGTTCCACTAGGAACAAAAGGGAACAATAATATTCGATGACTCCAATAAGATGTGTAGAGCGAAATACATATTGGTTGAAATGTATTCAAACCAACGCAGTTTCCCTGCATTCCACTCATCCTTTATGTGTGTGTGATGATAGAAAGATAAAAATGCTTCACCACATGTGACAGATAATATGTACTCACGGTGAACATGAGCTGGAGTTGGTTTCGCCGGAGCAGGAGTTGGTCCTGCAGCTGAAATATAAACAATTCAAGTACTTAACATCATATATCAAAATCAACAATTCAAATCATACATAAACTATGTGGACGACATTCATGATATTAGATGGTTGGAGTAATCTGCACCAAGCCCAGGCTTCGATCTAGCAAGGTTTCGTGATAGTTGGAACTCGTCAGTCCTACAAGAGGTGAAACGCCAACCCGAATAGCTGCTCACTGGTAACGTCTCTGACTGACTGCACTACACACTGGGTGACATGGGTTCGAATCTCACAGTGGTCGTGTGGGACATGACCTGTCCCTTCAAGCTGGTTGCAGTTACGCCTTAATGACTAGTGAGAGCTAACTAGCACGAAACATAGGTCCAAGGCTGACGACTCCAGTCTCGAGATTGTCTCCACCTACCTAATATCATCAGATCAATGTGCACTGTGATAACGAACAACCTATTAGCTTGATGGCATGGTGGCCACATTGCAAAGCTGACTGACTGACAGACTGACTGACTGACTGACTGACTGACTGACTGACTGACTGACTGACTGGCTGACTGACAGATTTCAGTCTGCCCTAACAAAGCTTAAAGGCGTTCTACGACTGAACTGTCAACGAACATTCAGACAAGCATACATTAGAAAATCCACGCTCCGCTATCACATCACCATCACAATTTCACTCTACTATCAGCATTTATGTCTGAATCTCCCTCCCTCTACCACAGAAAATCCCAATCTACTTACTTCCCCATGCTCAGTGGAGCAAGCAGATTTACACACTCATTTCAGACTAACCTATCTACATGTTCCCTTTCTTTCCGATCCCATCTTCTCCATTTCACATTTTGTGCAATGTAATCACACACTCAAATATTCTTTTTATTATGATTATCCTTCTTATAATATGTGTACAGTGAAATACTCATCGGTTGAAATGCATTCAAACCAATGCAGTTTCCCTGCATTCCACTCATCCTTTATGTGTGTGTGTGATGATAGAAAGATAAAAATCCTTTACAACATGTGATGGATAATATGTACTCACGGTGGACATGAGCTGGAGTTGGTTTCGCCGGAGCATGAGTTGGTGCAGCAGCTGAAATATACACAATTCAAATAGTTTCATTGAATGTTTAATTGAATACTTGACATTATTCATACACTCCGTGAATTTCAATTTATATAAACCTCTTTTCATTCGAACTGTATTACATACAAGATTCCATTTCATTCCGGCTGGATCAACCTTCTTCATTCATGTGTCTGTGTTGTCATCGGAACACTGATCTCCACGATTTTGGTTTTTTATGTTTCAGTAACGACATTTTTTATAATATATATTGGATATCATAGCTTGAAGTCGAACCATTCTCTTCCGGCCTTATTACAGATCAGGTGATTTTTTAGATGTCATCTGAGATTCCAACCAAGAACTCGGGCTTGAAAGGTGTGCATTGTAGATATGAACCTCGAGACGAATAAGTTGACAAGCGTAGATTTCGAAAACGTGAATGAAGAAATTACCAAATAGTCAGACAATTCACTTCACTTGACAGTATCTAGTGAATGAAATTCGCCCTCTATCTGGTCAAAACTTTAGTCAGTAGACTGATAGATGCATATTAAAAATAACAGTCAGTTTAACACCCATGAATCCAGAAGAAACATACATCGAAATTCGATGAAAATGTAACCAGTTTTCATGCATTAATAACCTGCATTATTTCCCATTCATATATCACTCGTTATTAATGTTAATATCGTCGGTTCACACTGGAACTATCCTAAGTGATTGCGAAGAGGTGGAAGTGGAACTATAAGAACCACACTAAGTGAACATATGTTCGATACAAGTCACTTTATTTTTACAACCTCTTCCTTCCTTACTTCAAAGTTATCTACGAGGAAGAACGTAACTTCCTCAAATCATTACGTAACCGATTCATCTGTGCTACAGAGTCTTCGGCCATCAAAATAGAAAAGCCAGATCTTCGTATGCAGAAAACGTTTGTTTGTCACCTCTAACCCTTATGGTCTTAATCCGTCTCTGTTGAAGTATGATATATCCCATTCATACTTTGATCCTATTCATTATTCGATTTGCTTACTCAATTTGTATATCCCCTACCTCGCCAACATTCGCTTCGTATTTTGTTGATTGTCCCTCTTAACTTCACTTTGAGCAGTTTCTGGCATTATCCAACTTGTCACCTCTCTTTTTTGTTGTTTTTCAATTTAGTACAATCATTTGCAACGCTGTCTTGCCATGATTATCACCTTGTTGCGTAATCCTTTAAATGCTTAGTAACAACATTATCTCTACATCGCCTAATTTGAGATTTACACAATTGCGGAAGTACTTAATACATAAGTGCGTAAAAAATTATTGTTTTTGTGTTTCCTGAAATTCCATTATATTATTACTAAAAATGGCCGTAAAACCTGGTGGTTAACTCGTTGAAAAGAGAAACTTCGCTAAATCCCTCATTTTGATAACATATATATATATATATATATATATATATATATATATATATATATATATATATATATATATATATATGGACATAAAGATCCGTTATTGTAAGTGTAGAAATTAGGCACTGTGGTGGATAGAAATACCATATTATACGAGTTTGACCACGGATTGATATCAGCTACAGAACCATTGGAAATCAAGGAGTACTAGATGAAACAGTTGTCCAGTAATCCAGTGCTGGTTTTCAGTGCTTCTCTAACTGGTATCAATCAATCCGTTGTCAAACTCGTATAAACATATCTAATCCTTACAAACCAAACTCTTGAAACTACCATGTTAGTTTAGTTTGTTTCGATGATATGATTATGAGTGACAAACATGTGTTGAGAAAGTGATTGGTTTATGTGTATAACGAGTGAGTGTCTTACTACGATTGAACTAACCAAATATTGAAACAAAGATCCTTCATCATACTAACATGATAAGAATTTATCACTTGTACTCACGGTGGACATGGGCTGGAGTCGGTTTCGCCGGAGCAGGAGTTGGTCCTCCAGCTGAAATACACACAATTCAAGCACATATCATTATATGTTGAAATTGAAAATTTATGGTGTTCACAAGCTGCACGGATTTCAAATGAATTCCAGTTCATATCATCAAAACACTTGTTGTTATACTCTTCAATTGTGTAAATTAAAATTATTAATTTATATATGTTTATATATGCCAATTATTTAAGTTCTGAATTGAACGTGAGTTGTCAAGCATTTGGTGTTGTTATATGGTTAATAGGTCAATTTTCTGGCCAATATACTTTTCTGGTCTTATTCTAAACCAGTTCATTTCCAGTAATGTATTGTTTTCGAATCGAATCGAGAACTCTAGATTGATTGTCGAGCTTCTTAGGACTGAACCATCGACAAATATGCCGACAAGCATAGATTAGAAAATCTTTGATCCATGAATTTGTGTAAATCTCCCTCTACCACTGAAAAAACTAAATCTACTTCCTCATGCTGAGTGAAATAGATTTACACGCTGTTTTCCCAATATTGTACATACCCATTCCTATTCTGATCTTCTAAACCTGACTCCGCATATTATGCAAACTAATCACATTGTTAAGTATTATTATAAAAATACTCTTTTCACGAGTTTCACCACGGATTGATATCAGCTACAGAAGCATTGGAAACCAGCGGGGAGTACTGGACAGCTGTTTCGTCGTACTAGTTCAGGAATCATCGGCAGTAAGCACCCACTGCCAGGGTTCGAACCTAGTTATAGAAAATTACTGTGATGCTGCTAATGACTTGCTACAGGATGGAGTTTGCTGTAGTTCTAGTGAGAAGTCGTGACCAATGAGGTCCATCCATTGAAGTGTCAGGATGGATATCCCACCGGTGACAGTGGTTGGTGGGGGGCGCTACATCATGAATTGGTAGAAGTTAGAACTCATGGGTTGCCCATTGCATTGGGTGGGACCCAATGACTGAATGATATACAAGTTCGTTTGCCTTATAACCGGAAGGTCGTTGGTTCGAACCCCATGTGGTGGATGCATACATCCGATGATTCCCAGACTAGGATGAAACAGATGTCCAGTACTCCCTGCGGCTGGTTTTCAATGGTTCTCTAACTGATATCAATCCGTCGTCAAGCTCGTATACACAAATCTAATCCTTACAAATCAACTCTTGAGGATAAACATATTCTTTGTACAATCTATACAACAAATAATATTCAAAGGGTGAAGTGTGTCTACATCAAAGCACTTTCCTTATAATAATATTCATACATAATGATACAAATATAAAGATCATTCATCATGTTAACTGGACATGAGTTTATAATATGTACTCACGATGGGCATGAGGTGCAGCTGGTTTAACCGGAGCATGAGTTGGCGCTGCAGCTAAAATGTAAACAATTCAACTACTTATCATCATATATTATAGGTAATAATTTATAAGTATTTATAGTAAATGTCATGAATTTCAAATGAAACCAACTGGACATCAGAAGGAAGGATTGTGGCTGTTTGATTAAGCTGTGTAATCTTAATTCATTAAATTTCGCTATCATATATATCTTTTATGTATGTACATAAGCTAAGGAGTCATTCATTTAGAATAAAACGATAATCCACTCAGATATAGTGATTCTTCAAGAGATCAGAATAAGTAGAATCAAATCTTTTCAGGAAAGACTGTGATCGTATCTTCAATATGCTTATCCTATCAACATCGCTTTCTTAATTGTATGTTAAAATCACCTGATAATCTCAATATCTCACTTCACCAAAGAACTTCTAGTGAAATCCAGTCCTAGCCTAGCTGAAACTTTAGTCTGTAGCCTCGTACACTCATGTTACAAAAACTATTCATTTAGTTAAACGCGCGTATATCCAAAAGAGTCTTTAGTCTGATGAAAATGTAACCAGTCCCAATGTTAAAATAATCTCCATTAGTCCACAGTTTTCATTTCATTCCTTTACGTTCCTAGTGGAACACAGGGCACCAAAATTAAGCTCTGAACTTTCAGTAACAGTACTATTCATTTTTAGGGAGTGAATTTGCTAGCCTGCTATCCGAAACGTTTTTACAGGTTTTAATGCCGACTTAGCGAGGTTTAGGAGCGCGTCGACTGGAGATCGAAACCCGAATCGCATGCGTGGTTAACAAACATTCTGTCACCACACTACCGATGCACATATAGGCGTTATTATTGTTACCATTATTATTCCCTTGAGTTCGGAGTAGGATATAGATAGGTCTTCAAAAACTCAACACAATTTCATTCTTATCCCAGTATTCGCTTTTATCCAACTCCAAGATATAAAATCACAGTCTTTTTCCTTATACTGAACATAGTAGGTTTTCTCAAACTGATTTCAAATGAAAGGGAACCTATTCTACTTTAATGATTCTACCATTACCCCCACCACTACCTTCAGTAGCATAAACAATGCAGTAAACGTATTATCAAACATTAGATAGTTGGAGGCAATCATCAGGAATATCAGCCTTGCATCTAGGTTTCGTGTTAGTTGGCACTCACTAGTCAGTAATGCGTATCTACAACCAACTTCAAGGAACTCATGTCCCACTCCTCCGAGATTCAAACCCGCGTACCTCATTGAGTACTGCAGTCAGAGACGTTACCAGTAGTGTTCAATCAAAATACCTACTACAGTCCTACAGGAGGTCAATCACCAACCCGAATACCTGCTCAGAGGTAATGTCTCTGACTGACTGCAGTACTCACTGGGTGGCACGGGTTCAAATCTCACAGTGGTCGTGTGGGACATGAGCTGTCCCTTCAAGTTGGTTGCAGATACGCCCTGATGACTAGTGAACCCTAACTAGTGATTGCCAACTAGCACGAAACATAGGTCCAAGACTGACGACTCCAGTCTCGACATTGTCTCCACCTACCTAATATCATCAGATCAATATGCACCGTGATGGCGAGCCACCTAGTGAGTGGCATGGTGGCATGGTGGCCACATTGCAAATCTGACTGACTGACAGAATCCAGTCTGCACCAGAGACACCAAGGAAAGGTCTAGATATATCGCAGCAGTTACTCGTGTCCAATCAAAATACTATCAGATATTTCTGTAAACATCTATGAGGTGAGATGTATACAGAAAAATAACCAATGGTTTAAATGTGTCTACGCCATTTTTATGCACTGTAATAGAAATATAACATATAAGTTAACACAATATATCTTTAAACTAACATAAATTTTTTATATTTACTCACGGTGGACATTAGGTCCAGATAGCTCAACAACTGGACGTTGTTTTCCTGCAGCGAAAATGTAAACAAATCGAATATTTATCATTCTATGTTAAAATTAACAATTTATATGATAGATAAACGAGACGAATCTCAGTTGAAATCAAATTGGATTCAATAGAAGGACTGTGTTTATATATCACTTGACTATGTGACCACAGTTTGTTGATTTATATGAAGATAAATCACAGTTGCGTACATATATATATATATATATATATCATATGCATGTCTGTCCCTTCATTTCTCCGAGAACATAAGAGTTTGAGCTTTAAAGCTTCGGTAGCAGTCGAGTTGCTTTTACTTGCTGGAATTGATAGTCAAAATTTGCTTCTCATTCTAGGTGAAAACAAACTAGTAGAGAATTACGAGAATGTGGGCCAGAAGTCGAATACAGACCATATCCGTCGGTGGCGATGATTTTAACACTGAACCACAGACAAAGCTTTCATTGAAATTTTATCACAAATACTAATAACTGTGAATTTTGCTGTCTTGTCTTGTTCAGGTGAATACTGTAAATTCTATTTTATTTTCTCTGACTTTCACCCAATGTCATACCAATGTCTGTGTACAAGTGTATGTATGCGTGCTTGTGCGTCTTTAGTCGCTGCTCAAGAGTGATTAATTGAGAATGAAACGATTATCCACAGAGATATATTGATTTATGAAGAAGACAGAATAAGCATAAGCAAGTTGTTTTATGGATGGACTCTGTACTCTTCCATTAATCTTAAGAAATAATGACAAAATATTGAATATCCTTTAACAATGTAATATGAAACAAATTTACAAATATGTACTCACGTCTCGGTGAAGGTTTATTTTTCCTAGCCGGTGCATTTGCTGATCCTACAGCTGAAATGTGTATAATTCAAGTATTTATCAGACTGTAAAATTTAATTCTTCATATTACTCTTAAAACCGTATGAATTTTAAACGAAATCCAATTGAATTTTATAAGAATAAAGATAGGGATGCAATTGAACTTTTGATCTTCCCGTCGATTGATTGAACCAGAGTGCTCGGTCTCAGGTTGACATGTCGGCTTCTTTTGCAGATGCTTCGACGATGTCTGGGCATTTAATCAGTATTTAATTGGTGGATGGTAACTAGCAGTGGAATCCAGGGCAACGCGCATTTCGTCCTATTTGGGACTCGTCATCTGAATGTGCCTGGATTTCTCATGACCCGTTGCACAAAAGGTGGCTCTCGTGGCCCAAGTGGTCTGGTGGATAACGCTTTGGCGTTTGAAACTATGGCCACTGGGTTCTAGCCTGAGTGAGAACATCAGCACTCACTGAGAAATGCAGGTACATCCGGATGACTAGTCCAAAATAGGAAGAAATGCGCATCCTGGATTCCACTGCTAGTCACCATCCATCAATTAAAGATAGGGATATATCATTCCTTTGCCTTCCGAATGGAACACTGGGCTTCAAGCTTCAGCGTTGAAGTTACAGTGTGGGATCGACAGCCTAACGTCCAACCTTCCCCGTCTCCCTTACTGACTACAGACTAGGAGATGTTTAAGAGGAAGTCTGCTGGGAATCGAACTTGGATCGTATCCGTCGTTGGTGATGTTTCTACTACTGGACCACTGACAAGCATTTCATAATATCTTATCAGAAATATTCACCAATCTGGATCTTATTTTACTAGTGAAGGCCACGTATTATCTTCTCTACGACATGGTTACAGTCCAAAATCAAGTTTCAATTGCATGTGGACGAGTGTGCTTGAGCGGTAAGATCAAGTGGAAATCCACATGGATATATTGATTTTTCGAGTAACAGGAATCATTATACATTATCCTTCCTGGAAGGACGTTTTAGATAACTCAAATATATAATTCCCTATCAGTGTTTATTTTTTTCTCCGTTGCGTTACATGTGGAACAAACTCTCTCTGTGTTTTCACCCTTTGAAATTTGTGTAGATCTTTTCTCTTCACGGGGTGGTTAATCCATTTTATTAGCAACTTACCACAGGCTAGATGATGACTAATAGTACAGAGAGTTCTACACCTGAACCAACAAAGAACACGCCAACCAACATAGTATTTCTAAGTGGATGGTAAAATTACGTGATAATCTGAACTTATCACTTTACTTGACAACTTTGGGTGAATTCAGTCAACAGCCTCATGGCTTCATATTACTAAAAGCATTCAATCAAGCACACGTATAGCCAGAAGGAACATAGATTGTGCTCTGATGAAAAAGTAACCATTCTTGGCATAAAAATTACCCCAATTATTCCTTATTCAAGTGTTGGTTTGTAGGGATTCGATTGGTTACAGGATTTCATCATGAGCTTAAATCAGTGAGAGAACCATTGGAAAACCTACCTGGGAGTACTTGACGGCTGTTTCGTCCCACTAGCTTGGGACTCTTCATTAGTACGCACCTACACACCACATGGATTCGAACCCAGGACCTTCTGGTTACAAGGCTAACGAACTCGTAGACCACTAAGCCACTGGAACCCGATCCAATGGCCCATGAATTCAAACTTCTGCCAATTCACGACATAGCGCGACCCCTAGCCATTATTACTGATATTACTCTGGTTTCTCAGTCGAATGTAGAGCTCCAGTAGCACATCACCGTTTCATACTTTTCTCTGGAGTCATTTTTATTTGGCTCCACAACTGTCTTTGATCTTTCAACTCCTGTTAAACCATATCCTCCATGTCAATCTCGGAGTCACGCCCAACTTGATGTTTCCCATTTGGGTTCCACTAGAAGCCCTCCTCTATGTCTCATGTCCCTCAACTGTCTTCCCATTGTCTTTCTAATTCATCTTCTTTACCTTCGAAATATTTGTTGGACGATATGTCATTGGTTGGTTTTTCGCCTCAGACAGTTCCCTGTTTCTATTCCCTTCTCACTGGTCATACCATCTTCAGTATGCAACTAAGGCAGCTATCCATGAAGATATACAGAAGCCTGTTGGAAATAATTTTCGTGAAGCGCGCGCCAAGTTTGTAAACAGTATATGAGCACTAATTTGACATTAAACTTCGTGTGTTTGTGGCACAGCGATAGAATGCTCACCAGCCACGCAAGTATTCCAGGTTACATCCCCGGCCGACGAACTCCCAAACCTCGCTAAGCCAGCGATAAGACTGGCAAGGACAGAAGGCTGAACATGAGGCTGGCAAACCTATCTCGTAAAAATAAACACCACCGCTACCAAAACTTCGAGCCTGTAGCTTGAAGCCACCCTATGTTCCACTGGGAACGTAAAAGAATAAAACTTTAAAAAAATTTCAATGTTGAGTGTAGCGAATTTCCACCCTCATTTCAGATCAGTATAGGTTTGTCTTACATTTCCCATTCTATCCACTCTTTTTTCCCATTTTATGCAAAATAAACACATTCTCGAATACTTTTGTAATTATATTTCTGATAAAATCTTCGCCAAGAAATAGTCAATAGATGGACTGTGTCTAATTCAGAAATATCGAAATACATGAAACTGTGATACTGCTACAGTTTTCCACATATGTCAATGAAAAAATTTATTGGGTATTGACTGAAGTTGAAGTGAAACTCTAACCGCACCAGACTTCCAACCAGTGGCTTCTGAACAATCATCCATCCTCTCAGTCTACCAACTGGTCTAGGATACCCAATAGTTTAACAACCAGATCATCATTTCACCACTGACATGGTGATTAATTCTATCGTGTAAATGTTACCTAAATCAATGAAAATTAACCGTCATTCAGGTTTCTCCTGTCTATAACCAGTTGAAAGGTGTGGAGCAGGTTTTCAGAATTTTGATTGTCATATTATCTAGGGAAGATAGCCTTCGATGGACACACGAATGTTGATGCATTGAGAGACGATTTGTGATAAAACGAATGTCTCATTCGAAACAATATTCAAACCATCGGTGTCCTAATTACTAGCCCACTACTAGTATCATTAAAGTGTTCTGATAGCATTTTTAATGAGTGATAACAGAATATTAAATATCCTTTAACACCATAATATCAAACAAATTTACAGTATGTACTGCTCACTTTTCTGCGTCCGTGGCACAGTAGTAGAATGCTCGCTGACCATACACATGGTCTGTAGCTCGAACCCCGGCCGATGCAGTCCTACACCTCGCTAAGCCAACAGTAAGATTGGTCAAGAGGGAACGTTGAGCATGAGGCTAGCAACTCCCTCCTTAAGAAATAAACACCACTGCTACCGAAACTTCAAGTCTCTAGCCTGAAGCCTTATGTTCCATCGGGAACATAAAGGAATCAAAAAAACTACTCACCTTGCACTTTAGACCTAGTTTTCCTAGCTGGTGCATGTCCTGATCCTACAGCTGAAATGTGTATAATTCAAGCATTTATCATACTGTTAAATGTAATACGTTGCATTAATCATTGAACCACATAAATTATGAACGAAATCAATTTGAAATAAATAGGATTGAAATGCAATCGATTATTGCATTGCATTCCACATGGAACACAGAGTTTCACGCTTCAGTGTTGAAGTTTCTTACGGATGAGGTTGATAGTTTTACGCTCAACCTTCCATCTCTCCCTAATTGACTACAGTCTAGAATATGTTTAAGAGTAAGTTGGCTAGGAATTGAACTCAAACCACATCAGTCGTTCGCGATAATCTATCGCTGAACCGCCGATAAATATTTCATAATATCTCATCATGAACATTCATTAGTCGGAAGCTTCATGAATAATTTTTCAGGTGAAAGCCATACATATTATCTTCCCTCCGACTTGGTTTCAATCTCATATCAAGTTGTGAGTGCGTGTGTAGGCGCGCATACTTGTGCACAGTGTAAGCAGGAACTACTTTTTTTTCAGGATGTGTTCTATAGATGCCTTAAATAACCAACCCCGACCAGCATCATTTTCCCTTCCTCTGCGTTACATATGGAACATATGACTGTTATCTTTACTGTTTGAAGTTTTAACAGGGCTTATTTTGTTTCTAAGAGATGAGTCTTCTAGCATTCCTTTCAAATCTGCATCTACTAGGGGCTTACTACAGGTTATATGATGATAAATAGAGCGTTGTCCTTGGCTACAGAGAATTCTACACCTGAATCACCAAAGAGCACAGTGAATGGTTACAAGGGTAGCGAGCTCGTAGACCATTAAGCCACTGGGACCTAATCCAATAGCCCATGAATTCTAACTTCTGCCAATTCACGATAGAAGATAGGAAAACAGATTTGACGTTAGAGAAAGCAAATGACTCAGCGTTGTGGAGATACATAGGAGACATGAAAGGAACACAAAGAAACACAATATGAAGGTTAGAAGCAGCAGAACAAGGAAGATCTGTGTAAATGGTGATTCTGAAAATAAGATGTACATAATTTTGCTATATGTAAATACCTTCCTTTACCATATCTCTCGTCCTCTGTCATTACAATAGTACTCTAATGAAAATATATAACTATCTTTGGTACAGTAATAATAACCTCCATTATTCCCTACTCACATATTACTTATTACCATTATTCCTACTGCTCTCCTAATTACTAACCGACCACTGGTATCACTACAGTCTTCAAGTAGCAACTGCAATGAATGCCAACGGAATAGTGAACATACTTTATTTGTCACTATAATATGAAACAAATTTACAAATTCGCACTTACCTCTCACTAAAGGTTTATTTTTCGGAACCGTTGCATTTGTTGATGCTATAGTTGAAAGGCGTACAACACAGGCATTCATCACACTGTTAAGCTGATTACTTTAATTGAATGGAGGATTTCATCATGAGCTGACCTGGGAGTACTAGACAACTGTTTTGTCCCAGTTTGGGACTCTCCATCGGTACGCACCCGCATTGTGGGGTTCGAACCCTGGACCTTCTGGGTTTGGGCTAGCTCGTAGACCATTGAGCCACTGGGACCCGCTATGTCATAAATTGACAGAAGTTAGAATTCAAGGACCATTGGATCGGGTCCTGGTGGTTCAATGGCCTACGAGCTCGCTAGCCTTGTAACCAGAAGGTCCTGGCTTCGAACCCCACAATGCGGGTGCGTACCGATGGAGAGTCCCAAACTAGGACAAAAAAGTTGTCTAGTACTCCCAGGTTTTCCAGTGATTCTCTAACTGATGTTAGTTTATGATGAAATCCTCCATTCAATCGAACAAAATCCCTACAAAATCAATAGCTGATTACTTTAAAGCATCCATTTAAAAACACATACATTTCAAATGGAATCAAACTGAAATAAATAGCGTTCAAAGATATATATATAGATTATTCGACGTCGCTGTGCGTGGAACATACGTCTTTATGCTTGTGCCCTTGAGCTGTAATCCCTTCACTGCCTAACTTTTCTTTCAGACTGAGACTAATTTCAGTAAAGAAGTGTAATCTGTGGAAAAATGCCATTTTCTTAAGATATATATATATGACCTGCTTCTTTCTTTGGTGTAACTACAGCCAATAACGACTGTGTTCAGACTTCGAATTTTCTATCTATTCACTACCGAAAGTCGCTTAGCCAGGTTTAAACCCGCTTAAATGAAAATCCACTGTATATACAGTAAATGATACAACACCATTGCTATGGAAACTTCAAGACTTGAAGTCCTATGTCCCTTGTCGTAACACATTAGGATAGATAATAAAAAGGACTGAATGAAATGTAATTTGTGTTTTTGGAATATTCCTGTATTTCTGTAGACACCTTGAAGGTAAACAATATATAAGTTTATCCGGTTTCATCGAAAAGTTATGTCATCAATTCTGAGCTAAGTCATACAACTTGTGTAATTTCAGACTTCCTTATGAAAAAACTATCTTCTTTGAGTTCGATAGATATATCTAGTTCAATATATTTGAACATGAACAAAATATAGATCATTTTGTAGATTTCTTTCAGATTTCTGACTGGTCTACTTCGATGACCTTTACACCTCAGTAATATTTACTGTAACCGGATAACCTTCATTCCCTTCCGCCCCCCCCCAGTTATTTCAGTGAAGATAGAAATCACATGCAGAAGACTTCATTTTTACTGTATTCAAAACTAGAAATAATAAGCTCTGACAAGCACTACTATCATTCTCCTATTAATAATTATCTTTGACTGACTAAAAGTAAAATTAAAGGAGGCAAATTAGGGTATTTCATTGCTTTACATAACTATGAACCCTCTGTATATTATATCATATAGAATTATCCAATATGCAGCTATACTACAGTCCACTGTGAAACGTCTACTCTCATACTAACGATGATGTATGTGTGGCTACTTAAAAAGAATTATTAAGGATTGATGTGAGTTAGAGAACGATTGGAAACCAGGGAGTACTGGACGGCTGATTCGCCCTAGTTTTTGAATCCCCATAAGGGATCGAAACTAGGACCTTCAATTTACAAGTTTTAATACACTTCTAGTTAGAAATCGAGACCAAGGCGGAGGGTCCATCAGGTCGTGTATTAAGATAAATATTCGTAGATAACATTGGCTGGTGATTGTGCTAAATACTGCGAATTAACAGAAGTTAGAATTCGTGGACTGCCCGGTGACTAGCTCTCCTCGTAACCTAATGTTCCTGAGTTTGATCACGTGTAGTAGTGAAGAGTCCCAAACAGGGAAGAAATGGCTATCCAGTACCCTCTGGTTCTCTAGTAGTCATCTTACTAATCTCAGCTGGTAATCTAACTCGTGAAAATAAAAATTATCTTTAGAGATTACTGTTTAACACTTATGTTCCTACTGGATGTTTTTATGGAGGGAAAATGAATTTCACTACTGAATTTTAATTACCTGGGGTAGTTAAATTAATTTTTCCATTTGAATTAGCACTTTGAATATGTTTCTCCATGACAATATAGGCTATAAAGATTGTTTACATTTTTAAAGTAAATTAACGGGGAAAAATTACATGACAGAAAATAAAATACCTCTCTAATAAATTGTTTGACAAAAGTACAACAGTAGAATTGTGGTGAGAGCTGGCTGCAAGCCAAAATTGTTGACACCAATCTACGTCAATGTTACGTACCAAATCGGGGTCATGAGAAAAAACAATAACAAATCTTATCCTTGAAGAACTCAACAACCAATCACAGAAGACTTAACGTGTGCAAATACAATTCGTAGATATATGGCTTAACTTTCTAAGAAACGGTCACAAGCAGCACAGAATAACCAATCAGAAGACGTTGCTTCCCCACTAACAATAATGTACATAAAAATCTATAAATATCTGTTGATTTTCCCAATAAATGATCTGTCACCTGGCCCTTGTCTTTTGTCGTTACCCAAGTATTATTGTAATGTCAACCAACTATCTTCAAATATCTTAAATATCAAAATAACAAGAAGTTCAAACAAATATTGAATGGTCCTACGCTTCAGAAATACGGGTATCTTTGTTGAGATATAATAAATACGATGAATTTTTTTCGATTACAGCTTGATTCCACACAGTATTTTTGGTACAAGTGTGGAATTTTCAGTATGTGATATCGGTAGCCCAAATTTTGCAGGCCAACCATAGATATCAGGTATGCGTCGGCAGAGGATCGAACCCCGGACCATGTGCATGGTCGGCGAGTGTCCTAACCAATATGCCATCGACGCACAAATTCACACAGTGATACACCCAATGACTGGGTACTGGTTTTCAGGAGAACCAAAAACACACCCATCCCTGCCTCTTGTGAGACGAGACCGGCATGCAGGATCATCCTGTGGCGCAACCACTCGACAGCCCTCTCCCTCAGTGGACAAAAGCCGCCGCCCGACGGAGGTATTTTGTGTGTCTGTGTGTGATGTCTTTTGTAAGAATCCTAAATAGCAAAGCAACGGATTAATTTTCAATCAGGAAGAATTAAAACCATTGTAAAATAATATGGAAAGTATGAACTATGAGGATAAAAGTAATTTCAATATAACGTTTATTAATTCTGCTACTAAATGCCCCTGTCTTCTGTCTTTACATTTTCATACACCAGATAATAAAAATTTATCTAGTTATATTGCCTTCTTCTTCCATTCCTTCTGAAATCTGATCATAAACTGATTGGATATCTCCATCTACACAAGTAAACATATCAAGATGAGATATTTTATCATTCGACTTATGCCGGTCAACTTAAATTTCTCTTTGACTAAAAATGTAGTAGTAGTAGTAGTAGTAGTAGTGTAACAACAGAAGACAAGGGCCAGGCAACAGATCGTTTTATTATGAAAATCAACACGTATTTATACATCTTTCAACTACATTATTATAGACAAGCGCAGTCATCTGATTGGTTGTTTAGGTAGACAAACGCAGGCTTCTGATTGGTTGTTTCGGGATTCCTTGACAAATAGAGTTCTCTCTGCGAATCATATTTTGCCACGTTAACTTTGCTGTGATTGGTTGTTGACTCAGGCTTGTTCATATTTTCTCACGGCCCATATTAGTGACCTAGACCTTAACGTAGATTAGTGCCAACCAATCGGCTAGCAGCCTGCTCTCACCACACTCGTCCCCCGTCAAATACGTGCGACTGAATTCGGCTTGATCCACTTGGTGCAGGCGTCATCGTTGGCTTGTCTCGCTGTATCCATTTCTGGAGCTCGCTGACGTTCACGCGCCTCTCATTGTTCGCCATTGCGACTGTGTCTGCGTAACCCCATCTCGAAGTGACCATATATGGTCCTTCCCACTTTGGAAACTGTTTGCCTGACCCTGTCGAACATTCGTCCATACTTCGGCCCACACCTTCATATGCTGCTTTCGCCCGACCTCCCAGCAGCGTCTCAAGTAGCAGCTCCATCGCTGACAGATCTTGAACGCCACTCAACTGCGCAGAAGCCTTGAAGTCCTGCCCGAAGATCCATATGTCTCCATCAAAAACTGCAGGGTATAGGCTTTTCATTTGTCGGTAGGCAGCGACACCAAATGTAACAACAGAAGACAAGGGCCAGGCAACAGATCGTTTTATTATGAAAATCAACACGTATTTATACATCTTTCAACTACATTATTATAGACAAGCGCAGTCATCTGATTGGTTGTTTAGGTAGACAAACGCAGGCTTCTGATTGGTTGTTTCGGGATTCCTTGACAAATAGAGTTCTCTCTGCGAATCATATTTTGCCACGTTAACTTTGCTGTGATTGGTTGTTGACTCAGGCTTGTTCATATTTTCTCACGGCCCATATTAGTGACCTAGACCTTAACGTAGATTAGTGCCAACCAATCGGCTAGCAGCCTGCTCTCACCACAGTAGTAGTAGATATATCTTCAAGAAATAAAGATTTAAAGTTATTGATTAGTGATCTTTTCTTTTATTCACCTGTTGTACTAATCAGACTGATATAGCGTTACTTCGATAGTAAGATTCTACAAATTTGTCTGAATCCATTACTCTAACCGTAAATATCTATTTTATTTGTATAACATTGGAACGTTGGCTGCACTCTTATTATGAATAATAAGGAGATAATTCTTATGACTTCACTCAGGGATATGACATTTTATAATAGCGGTTAACTGCATTTCTGCATTTACTATGTTCTTCATAAATATTTAGGTGAAATTGGAGATGGATTAGGCGTACCAGGCCCGAATGGGAAACAACGAGTTGGGCATGAGACTGAGTATAATATCCAACAGATCGTATAAGAAGGAGAAGGTGGAAGATTATAGACAATCGTGCAGCTAGTCTGAAAAGACTTTAGAGAGTAGAATGAAATAGTGATGTGCTTATGAAGTCCTGTTTTCCTACTCGGAAACCAAGGGGAATAATAACAGGAATAACTACTTTTCTCAGATCAGTTAATGTGGCAGATACGTTAGGGTGGAAAGACACTAAGAGTAAGACAAGCTTAGTCATTTCTTCATATGGTCATTATTATTTGTCTTTCAGTTTCATTTGAACTATGACTATTGAACAAATAATTGCCATTATGAATACAAATTGTCGAAGGTCTAAAGTAAGGCAGTAACTCATCGCGCTATGTCATGAATTGGCAGAAGTTAGAATTCATAAACTGGTCATTGGATCAGGTCCCAGTGGCTTAATGGTCTAAGAGCTAACTCGCCTTGTAACCAGAATGTCCTGAGTTAGAACCTCTGTGGCGTGTGAGTGAGTACGGTGAAGAGTCCTTAACTAGGCTGACAAAATGGTTGGCTGTCCAATACTTCCAGGAAGGTTTTTCATTGGTTCTCTAACCGATGTCAGCTCATGATTATGTTTAAATGAATGTTTCAATTATTTTAGTTAAATCAGCTAAATTTTGAAGTTATAGCTTAGTTGAACACATCTTTTCAGCTTCTTAACAACCCCTAAAATTCCAGTAAAAAATAACTCATGAAAATTTTAAAAAAAACATAAAATAAAGTAGAAATTTATAACTTAGAGAATTACGTTGTGGGACCACTTCTGGTGGTGTTAGGATGCGGTCAACTGCAAAGATAAAAAATCAAAGTACAGAGGATTAATATATATTTCATCAAATGGGGAGCAAATGTCTCAAATTTCAAGCATTATATATATGTAGAAATTGTACTAGTGGAAGACATCATCAGGAGTAAGTGATTTTCACTTTCTTATCACTACGATTTTTTCGAAAGTGTCGTATCTTCTTCTATTTTCACCACTTACGAGTGATTTTCATTTGCCTCTTGTTCACCTTCACTCATATCTATCAGATTCTTTCGCTTTTTTATCTGTATTGAAAAGAAATGCCTTACTCCCTGGAGTTGAAAAGCACTCCTCCCCCTTGCAACAGACTGAGGACTTTCATTAAAGCAGCTGCCTTCGCTGCCTCCATTCTGAAGATCAGATGACCGAAGAGAAAGAATTAGCAAACAAAGAACTCTTGGATCGAACCAACTAAGAAGATATGGTTCAACAAATATTGAGAAGGAAATGGAGATTTATGGGAGACAGTGTTGAAGAGACCGTTGGCTAACACCACATATAATTCAGGCCACCGATTGCGACCTAAATGGGAAAAGGCAGACTGGGCATCCGAAGGTGACCTTCAAGGAACTATGTAAGGGGGAGGAAATGAAAGCTTATTGTCTAATCGTGCAGCCTACTAAAGAGAACTGCAGAAAACAGGACAAAATAGCGATGTACTGTTGAAGCTCTATGCTGCACTCGGAACCCAGGGGAATAATTAACAATAGTATAATACTCTTTGAACCGATAACTATCTAATCATGCGTACGTCCAGCTGAACGAAGTTATTTAACACAAAATCTGTAGTGTGAAGGAAGGTTTACTAAATTATATTTATAACTATTATATTCCGATGTGGTTGTGTTCTCTGAGCTGGAAAAATAATTTATGGAAGCATTGATGCAAAGGCTCAAAAACATAATCCTACCAAAGATCAAACCCAAAATTTGAATACGTTAAGTAGATGACACATTTGTAGTAATGAAAAGAAACGAGTTGGATAAAACTCACAACTTAATAAACAATGTCTTCAAAGACATCAAATTTAGAAGAGGAAAGGAATCCGAGAGCCAAATCCCATTTTTGCACGACTTAGTCAAGTGAATAACCACAGGGGAATTAGAAACTCAAGTTTATAGAAAATCAACTCACACGAACCAAATCCAGAATTACAAAAACAACAATCCAATAACACACAAAAGGAATTGCATTACAAACACTATTCAAGAGGGTAAGGACTCATTGCACCACTCCCACCCTAAGGAAAACGGAAGAAAGATATCTCATGGACGTCTCCCAAAAGAATGGATATCCACAAAATTTCATCAAAAGACATATACCCCCAAGTCAGCCTATCAAATCAAAGGCCCTCAAGGAAGGCACAAAGAAAATCGCCCTACCATATATAAAGGACATCTCAGAAATCACTACAAGATTCTTCACAACTTAAGGAATTGACATCGCACACAAACCAACAAAATCAATTCACTCAGTTGGTTCTGTGTCAACCAAAAGACTCAACAACGAAAGTAGATAAAACTCAACATCATCTACAAAATAAATTGTAACAACTACGAAAAACACTACATTGGCCAAAGTGGACGTCCCCTTCGTCTTCGTATCCACGAACATAAGCTAGCGGGTCAAAAGACATGACATCCACTCCCTCATATCACAACATACAGACAACCACGGACATCAACTCGACTGGGACAACGTCCAAAGCAAATTAACTATCCAGTTCAGAGAACATAACCACATCAAAATCATCCACATGAACTACGAATCTTTTCCATCACTATTGTATTCATTTGAAAGGAAGACAGAACAGTTCTGTTCAACACAATCTGCCTTTGATATTGTTCTATTGTCTAGGATTTGATTGCCTTTCGATACAGTATCTTCAAAGTTAACACAAGGTGTAATGAGCTGAAATGTAACAAACATTTCTCCCGATGAACTGTTGTCTCCAGACATTATCTTATCTACTCGGTTACTGCTATCAGTGTTGCGTATTTTGTCCACCTGATGCTTAAACTTTTATTTTTTTAATTTTTTTTTTGAGAACAGCTTGATTCCACACTGTATTTTTGGTACATGTGTGGAATTTTCAGCACTCGATATCGGTAGCCTAAATTTTTCAGGCCGACCATAGATATGAGGTGTGCGTCGGCAGGGGATCGACTTCATTTTTCCTCTAATTTTTTCATAAATCTGATCCACATTAGTACGTCTAGGAACTGCAGATTCATTCAATTGTCAGGCCTCCAAGAATTCCTCAGCTTTCCTAATGTTTTCTTTATCTAAGACCCAAAAAGGTATCCATTGGTGTCTGTATGTATTGATATGAATGAGTTGTTATCATGTCTCTTGATATGTATATGTACTATTACCTCTCTTATTTAGTTTAGTAATCTTCATTGCTATTTTGACCTTCACTATGTCCTTTTCACTTGACCTAAGTCTATTTTCTCACCTCATTAATTTCATATATGTATATTCCTATAACAAGTCCGTGTGTGTGATCAAATTGTTCCAAATGTGTTGCGCAAATACATTACACACGATTCAGACAAATTACGTCTTTTTATTACTTTATCTAAATTCATGAATATACCTTGAAAAACTGAAATTAGAAAGTCATTTGTTCGTTACTAAGGTTTGTGGATATTTCTGTGCAACACAGTGTGTAATAATATTGGCAATGTTAGCTATACTGTTTTGAATGTTTGCTCAGATCAGTGACCAGCTTATGTTTCTTATTACTTACAAACTTTAAGTTGTAGTCGTGTTTTATTAATAAATTCCAAACAAACTACATTTGACATCTAATATGGTGGATTCGAAGCCATATTGCAAAGGCTACTGTTCTCAAGTATGATCACAAACTAAATTCATCTAGAGAACCATTGAAAATGAAGAAGTGCTGATTACAAGATGAAGTTGTATGAAGTTCTGGTGAGAAGTTGTTCCCAGCGGGATCCAGTAGGTCAGGTGTGAGGACAGATACTCTTCAATGACACTGACCGATCATATATTACAAAGTGGCAGAAGTTGGAACACATGGGTAGATAGATTCTATCTGAGTATCTAAATGTTCTGCAAGCTTGTCTCATAACCTAAAGGTCCTGGATTCAATCTCCTCTGGGAAGTCATGGCTGAAAAGTCTCAAACAGGGACGAAATGTACATATGTCCCGTACTTCCTATTTATCGACAGTTCTCTAGCTGAAATCAACTCATGATCAAACTTGAAGTCAATCAGAACAACATTTGGCAGTTTAATGCTCACCAACCATGCAGATGGTTCAGCTTTCAGTCCCCCAGTCAACGCACTCCTAAGCCTTCTTTAGTTGCCGCTAGTAACCTGACAAAGAGAGAAAGTTGAGCGTGATGCTGGCAATCCTACAAAGGAAGTTTCAGTATTATACCTTTTGTCTGTCAAGGGAGCTCATCATGAGTACGTGTCTACATTCTAGTGTTGGCGTTCTCTTTTTCTCCTCTCTTTTTTTTCTTTCATACAGGTAACTTGCCAGGTAGAAAAAACAATCAGCTGAAAATTTATGTTCAGATGTCAAATTTATGGGAAAAATGAATGGTCTCAATATCACATTTTAAAGGAAGCAATGATTGTCTAAGTAGTACTTAGATATGGTAGAGAATCCAATAACACACAAAAGGAATTGCATTACAAACACTATTCAAGAGGGTAAGGACTCATTGCACCACTCCCACCCTAAGGAAAACGGAAGAAAGATATCTCATGGACGTCTCCCAAAAGAATGGATATCCACAAAATTTCATCAAAAGACATATACCCCCAAGTCAGCCTATCAAATCAAAGGCCCTCAAGGAAGGCACAAAGAAAATCGCCCTACCATATATAAAGGACATCTCAGAAATCACTACAAGATTCTTCACAACTTAAGGAATTGACATCGCACACAAACCAACAAAATCAATTCACTCAGTTGGTTCTGTGTCAACCAAAAGACTCAACAACGAAAGTAGATAAAACTCAACATCATCTACAAAATAAATTGTAACAACTACGAAAAACACTACATTGGCCAAAGTGGACGTCCCCTTCGTCTTCGTATCCACGAACATGAGCTAGCGGGTCAAAAGACAGGACATCCACTCCCTCATATCACAACATACAGACAACCACGGACATCAATTCGACTGGGACAACGTTCAAATATTAGACAAAGGAAATAACAAAAATGCTAGAGAATTTTTAGAAGCTTGGCATTCCAGTGAATCATCAATTAATAGACACATCGAGATAGACAAAATTTATCAACCGATAAGAAAATAACCTAACACACAAAGGGTCAAAGTTCAAGTCAAAGAAGCAGTCAGTTCCAATACAAGTAACCTAGAAGGTGTGAAAACACACAAAAACAACCAATCACATCCAAGTTGATCGGGAGAGATGACAGTAAATTCGTGGAGAAATCTAAAAGCTCACTTCAATTCAAAGTGAAGTATGCACTGAAGATGTCACCTAGTAGGGCGATGAAAGCTTCGCAAATTAACTGTCCAGCTCAGAGAACACAACCACATCAAAATAAGTAGTACTTTTTTGTAGTGATGCACTCGTGGTTCAGAGGTAGAAAGCTCGCCAACCTCGCCACCCGTGGTCAGGGGTTTGACACACTCTTGAACTTCACTAAACCGGTAAAGAGGGAAAGTTCGACGTGAGGTCAGCAACCCCACCCCATAAAAATAAAACCATTGCTAGCGAAACTCCAAAACTTTAGCTTGAAGCCCTATGTGTTTCACTCGGAACGGAAAGGAATAAAAATTTGAAATCATTTTTTGATGTGATCTACCTTTTAAGTATAAGTATTTTCAAAAATAAGCTTAAAAAATATACTAAGATTAGAATTCACACTTACTTTGTTGACCTACTACTCCGTGTCGTTTAGAATCATGACCTGAAATATTAATAAATAATTTATCAGTGCAAAAAACTGGTGGACAAATTTTCTGGACGTGTATTAACAAATTGGGAAACAAAACAAATACTCTGGAAATTAAATCAGTTGTCCAGTTCATATACATTCTTTGTATGGTGGTCTTTTTTTAAATGATCTATCAACTCTACTTATGAGTAGTACATCATTGGGAGAAAATATGAATGTGCATACAACAATGAATTACATTCTAATTCATTTACATAAATATGACTGCAAACAGTTTGTTCTTTATGTTCATAAACACCAAATAAACTATGTCACCTTAAACTTTATACACACAGAATGTAATTTCTGTAATGATTACTTGCAATAACGAGACTTAACTACTAAGGTGTTTTTATTGCTGGTTAAAAGAAGGGTCAGACATCTGAGTCTTTAAAGTATCCTAAGTATTTATCTTATATATTTTACACTTATGTTCATGAAGGAGAAATCTAATCAGTAATGGCACTAATAACAAGATGAATTTCAACAGAATCTCTGAATGACAAGGTATTTGTCAAAAAAAAACCCTGTTTATATTCAATTCAATTCTGTGTGAAATAGATGCTGCACAAACTAGAAACAAGTTAGAACAGTTATCATACAATTGGTGGATGGTGGCTAGCAGTGGAATCCAGGATGCGCATTTCGTCCTATTTGGGACTCGTCAGCTGGATGTACCTGCATTTCTCAGTGAGTGATGATGTTCCCACCGAGGCTCGAACCCAGTACCCAGTTATGTTGAACTTTTTTCAATCTATTATGTTCGACTGGTTAAAATTCACTGAAATTTACGGAAACTCAGCAATAACATACAGCAGCTGTAATAGGTGATTTGGGTATTTTGGGAAAAGGAATTAGAAATATGTCAAAAAAAAAAGATCAAATTGTTTTTCACTATTCAACCAACCAATTTTGTTAAATCACCTTATACTTCATCAAAACTTGACATCAATCACTTATTTTGTGGCAGTTAAAGAAGATAGAATAAATATTTAATAGTGTGAAATATTCCCATATCATGAATTAAAAGTGAATCTGAAGGAAGAATATTCTTTCCAATAAATTCTCCTTTTCACGCCCTTACAACTATAAAATATTATAATTATCATTATATTAATAGCCATTTTTACAGCGGGTATATTTTAAGTAGTTAAAGGGTAATTAAATATGTAGGTTATGGGTGACAGATGTGCTGGTCCAATTTCAAGCACAAAACATCACGAAGTTCGAGACAATAATGACGACTAGATACATATATTTAGAAAGCTAGAGACTAAAGCCCTATATTCATAATTCTTCAGTTTCATACCTATAAAATACCAGCTTAATCGAGTCATATGCTTAGCATTCAGGGCGAGGTTGAGTTGTTCCGAAGACTGTGTAGAGAAGGAAGCTCCAGGTCATACAGGATATTTTGAAAGAAAACCGACATCCACAGAGGTTTATAAAAGTCATTATAAGTTATAATTGTGGTAAACATGAACTCGCAGCGGTGGAGAAACAGCCATTATTTTTGCGTCGAAAATTCAAGAAAGATACTCCTAGGGAGATTCTATCTTAATGTCTTATCAAAAAGAGAGACAAAGAAGACTTTCTACTTTACACATCTGTTTCTTTCTTTCAGTAATCATTTAATGTTCACCCAGGAACTGAAAGACGTCTTAGCCAATCTTAGCCCTTTCTCTTACAAATACCTTTTCAGCTGTTCCTTTGGCTCAAGTTATATACAGCGTACAATTAGGCAGGTTCGTCTACATGTTCAAGAACATTTACCAGCTTTGTTCAGAAAGGAGAAAATAAAATGCATAAAAAATGCGATTCTATCTCACTTTGTGGACATAAGATATCGCATCGACACAAATGTAGCCTTCAGAGTTCTATATCACATTCCGAAGTCATTATCACCCACAGTTCGCCTACGTATTCTACATATATCTGAAACTACTGCATTAAGGTCGACTAAGCCGGAGCTTTATAATGAAAAGGACAACTTTCAAATTCTGTCCCTACCGAGGCCAAACATGGATTAGAACTTCTACTCCTCTTCAAGACTGCCTCTTCCTCTTATCCCTTCTTTGCTTTGTTTATTATAATTTATTATTATTGTTTATACCTCCCATCCATTACAGCATTCCTTCAATACCATCGAATTTTTAATATAATATTATTCAGACTTTTCATTAGTGATATTATCTCTTTTCTCGGTATATGCCTCCACTTGTCACTTCATTTCACATATTGGCTATTTCATGACGAAATATTCACTGCCCACTGTTATAAATTCGTACTGGTCACTCACCAACTTTGAAGTGACTTGTCAACTTTCCTTCCCTACATTATTTAAACCTATTATGACTAATCGCCATCATCGTCTCTCATTTCGTAATATTTTGTGCTTGAAATCAGATGAGCATATTTGCCACAAAAATACTACTTATTTTATCCACTTATAAGTAGTCTGTTATTCAAAGTAAAAAATGCAAAACTGACTAGATAATTGTAAGAACGTGAAAAAGAGAATTTATTGAAAAGAATATTCTACCTTTCAGATTGACTTTGTTAGATAAAAGATTATAACAAAACTTCATGAACTTACAATGTGTATAGGAAAGAGAAGACACAAGACCTAACAATAGAATTGCAAACATCCTCAGCATCATCATCATCAATTTGCAACATTCGAAATATTTGCTTTTGCTTTTAAATATGCCTTTATTGGATACCTCATTTTTTTTCCATTGCTGATCCGTATCAGTATTGTTTACACAAATCAGTATATGTATATGTTAAACAAAGTAGGGGGACAAATAAAGAACATCGTACCAAAAGTGTAATGAGCGCTTATAATTAAACATGATCAAATTACAATGAAGTATATGAGACTAAGACTATTTACAATTGTATTTGAAGAGAATAATAGTGCTACAGGAAAAGAAAAAATACAGACTAAATATTGAATAAATAAAAAGTGAATATTGATTTAACTGTATAACTGTGTTTTGTTTTCATTCTAAATAAATATTTATACGCTTTACAAATGAGTAAATAAAAGACATTTAAAATGATACTTCTTTTTTTTAAATATTCTTCAAGAATGTGAATATGTTGAGAAATCCATGCGTATTCTTTTGTGAATAATCATATATGCACGATATTTATTATTATTGTATCCTTTAGTTCCTAGAGGAACATAGGGCTTCAGCTGCGCACCTCCATTGCCTTCTGTTTTCTGACAACTTTTTCACCCCGCTCCAAGTCTGCCCACATGCTTTCATCTCCTCCTCGCATGACCTCCTCCAAGTCACCTTTGCACTGACGACCAACTCCCCGCCCGCTTCCCTTTCGGGTTCCACTCGAGCGATGGCTTATCTAGTGATGTCACTTGATGGTTTCCTCAGCGTATGGCCAATCCATCTCCATTTCTTCCTGCCTATTTGTTTCACAATCGGTTCCTGATTGGTTCGCTCCCAGAGATCCCTGTTGCTGATCTTTTCTGGCCATCTGATCTTGAGTATTGAGCGAAGACAATTGTTTATGAAGGTCTGAAGTTTGTTGGATATGCTCTTTATGACTCGCCAAGTCTCTGATCCGTATAGTAGCACTGACTTCACATTGGAGTTGAAAATCCGGACCTTATTTTTGATGCTGAGTGCTGTTGACCTTCACACAGATTTGAGAGTAATGAAAGCTTGTCTTGCTTTTCTGATTCTGGCTTTGATATACTCGTCAGTTCCGCCTGTAGCTGAAACGATGCTTCTCAGGTAGGTGAAGGAGATATTCACGATAAGATTTAGAATTTGGTTATAGATTTTGATCAGAAGTTGATATCAGTCAAAAAACCAGTGAAAAGAACTAAAGAGTACTAGACAGCTGTTTCTGCCTATGTTGGGTCTCCTCAGTAGTACTGACCCACTGAGATTTGAACTCAGGACCTTCAGGTTACAAGAAGACCTTGGATGCCATTCAGCCACTGAGATCTGATCCAGTGTCCCTAGGTTTGAATCCCTGATAGGTGCACACTACTAAAGAGTCCCATACTAGGACGACACAGCTGTCCAGTATTCCTTGATGGTTCTAAGCAGTTCTCTAAATGATGTCAGCTTGTAGTGAAAACCTGTGACCAATAAAATCCTAATACCCACCAACGAACAGCAACAACAACAGCCAGCACCAATCACAATCAACGAGAGAGATTCCTTAACTCACTTATCCGGCTAGGAAGCATCGTTTCAACTACAGGCGAATGGCACAAATGAAAATGTGAAAGCCAGCCAGCCAGCCAGAATCGGAAAGGCAAGATACGCGTTTATCAACCTGAAACCAGTTTGTAAATCTTCTGCTGTCACTCATCAGTATAAAGAAGAAGATTCGGATTTTCAACACAAATGTCAAGTTGGTCCTTTTATACGAGTCAGAAACTTGTACTGAACGTCACGAAAAGAGTTTCCAGCAGGTTGCAGACTTTCATCAACAGCTGCCTGCCTTCACTGGCTTCATACTGAAGATCAAATGGCCAGATAGAATAAGTAGCAAGAAACTGTAGGAACAAACCAACAGGCGAGAGCCTATTGCTCAACAAATATGTAGGAGAAAATGGAGGTGGACTGGGCATACATTGAGGAAACCGTTGAATGACATTGCGTTAGGCTATTGCTACAGTGAAATCCGGATGGGAAACAATGAGTGGGTTGTCCTAGGGTGACATGGAAGAGATCGTGCGAGGAAGAGATGACAGAGTTTGGGCAATCGTGGAGCTAGCCAGTTGAAGAGGACGGCAGAAAATGGGACAAATCGGAGATGTGTCGTTGAACCCCCATGTTCCACTTAGGACCCAAGGGAACGATAATAATCATAAAATGACACTAGATTTTTAATTAACGGAGTGCTTCACAACATTTCTTTATAAAAAGCACTTTTTTAATGTGAGAAGATTAGATGAGACAATAAAACGTAGAATATATTGGACAGTAAACTAACTTCTTTACTACTGTATCTGTGTTTATCACTGAACACATAAGATGAAAGTAAGACCAAAACTGAGGAGGACAGTTATCTTTTTGAAATGTAAGTTCATTAGTGATATGAGTTAAGAAATTGTATAGAAATTTTGATAAGAATCTTTAAGTTTAATCTAAGATACTTTCCCCTACTAATCCTGAGCAAACACAATCAAAGCAAACTATACCCTTCATATATATTCAACTTATTTTTCACTAGTGAGTTATCCATATAAGGTGTGTAATTAAGTTCAGAAAATCTCTTACAGATGAAGATAATATTGATTTATTTACTTTCTCATCTACTGTAATCTGAGTGCGTCAGTAGTTAAGCGACAGAAGACTCGCTAACCACGCCACACGTGGTATGGAGTTCGATCCCCAGCCATAGACGCACTCCTACACCTCACTAATCCCGTAGTAAGGCTAGTAAAAAGGGAAGGTTGTGCATGAGGCGAGTAAACCCACCAGGTAAAAATAAACAATCACTGCTGCCGAAACTTCAAAGCTCTAGCCTGAAGCCTTATGTTCCACTAGGAAAGCAAAGGAATATAATAATAATAATAACCACTATAATCCGCTCATAGATAAAAAGGATAATGGAAAAGTCTTTTATGATTACTCATCGTCTCCATTATTTGAAAGATATCCCACAACTACATTCTGACAAAGTCTATTCTCATACATCCTGTCTGTATCAACAAAAATCTGTACAATTCAATTCAGTTTGATTTCTATTTAATGAAGTTAAGTCTAAACTAATCTTATATCCAGATTTCAGATTCTGTAAAGATTTTGAATAATTCTAGTATGAACTTCTTCACTAACTGACGACATCACTGGGAAAAGCATGAATTAACGGGAATTAGAATTTACGGGGCATTAAATTCTAATCAAGTGGCTGGATGATAAGTGGGTTAATTCGATGAGCTGAAGACCCTGAGTTTGGTCTATAGTGGAGTTATGGTTTTATTCTAAATATTCCGCACTGGGATAAAATAACTGTGAAGAGATTTTTGGTTTCCAGTTATCCTCCAAATGATGGCAGTTTGTGACGAGATCTACATTGTGATCATTTTTTTACTCAACCGATGGTTAGTGCCTCTCAATACTTACATAACGTTAGAACATGGCCACTCTTATCGAATACCAACCTTGCTATATACGCAACAGGACAAAATGGTCACAGTTACCAGAATAGTGAGAGGTTGTTAATCACGCTATCTTTCCGTGGGTTGAACTTTTTATGATAGCAGTAGCTTCTGTGAAATGAAGTAACCAAAGTTTGTTTATTTTGAGGACCTGACTATTTTTCAGTATATATCCCGCATTAATTAGACAATCTGACAATTTCACTTGAGAACACTTTGCTATCTTTCATACGGAGACTTTTAAGGATATGCTTAGAATACCTAGCAGACAGCCCTCTTCTCAGTCTTTCCTATTTACTTGCTGCCACTAATGCAAGTGAATTAGTAAGTGAAGTTGGAGTCGACATGCGCTAGATACCTATCTCTTATTACCCTAGTAACCACAATTGTTTTGTTCAGGTGTTTTTGTGTTTTGGTCACTTGTGTAAAATATCAGTCTGTTTCTTAATGTTTTATACTCTTTCCATGGTCAGTTGAAGTCAACAATCCAATGCTTTCAAATATATAAAAGGTATGTAGATGACGCCTTTATTATTCGTAATAGTGATTGTAATTTGAATTATATATTAAATGCATTTAATGGTTGCCATCCAGCGATAAAATTCACACTCGAAATGGAGAATGAGTCTAGTATTTATTTCCTCGATGTGAACTTATCAAGAAGGACCGATAGAACTGTGAAGAGATCGATTTATTGAAAGCTGTCATTGAATGGTCAGCTGACAAATTTCTACAGCTGATTACCCATTGGTCGAAAACGAAACCTGGTCTGGCCGCTTGCCACTCGCACTCGGCGTATATGTAGTCCTCGTACTGTGGAGGATAAGTTAAATCTTTTGAGAAAAATCCTAATGGAAAATGGATTTCTACCACGTTTTATAGACAAAAATATACATTCAAATCCAATAAAACGTGACTTATCATCCACACCCAAGAAAATACTGCACATGAGCTTGGAATCCAAAGGTGACTTGGCTTCTGATATCATGAAAAGACGGATATCACAGTCCCTGCTGCATCTTTGAGAATAACCTTTACTAGTCGACCATTACTGTCCAATAACCTGAAGGACAAGCGCCTGCAGCTGGCCAACTCTGTATGCGTTTGTCAATTCACCTGCTCGTGTGAAGCTAGGTATATCGGTCGTTCGACTCGAGTTTTGTCCAAGAGGGTGCAAGAACACTGTCCTGCGTGGTTACCAAGAGGTGGAAGTGGAGCAACATAAAGCGCGATCGATGAACATCTGGTCGATAACGAATACCCCATCTCGACAGCCTCCGCCTTTAAAGTCATCTACAAGACGAAAAACAATTTACCTAAATCACCACATATCCGACTCATATTTATTGTTGAAGCCTTGGCTATCGAAACAGAAAGGCCAGATTGCTGTATGCAGAAAAAGTTCGTTCAACGCCTCCAATTTTCATGGTCTTAACCCCTCTTTCCTAAAGTATGATAATCCTTAATCACACTTTGGCTCTACCATTTTTTTCGTTTTGTTTATTCTATTTGTATTCTCTTTCTTTATTATGTCAATTGTTACTATTACTATTCTCACTTTGAACTGTCCCCTGTATTATTTCACTTGTTCCACTTGTCATTCTAAATCAATTCTGTTTTGCAACTTTAAATTCTATGTTATCAAATTTCACTCAATGTTACGCAACGTCCTTATTT